GAGCGGCTGTGTGGTGCTCAGTTGCCGACTGAGGTTAAACCACGACACTCCCTAGGAAAGGCAGAAAGGGATCAAAGCGCATGAGATGCTTTATGCTCAAAGCCCAAATACCACAGATTTTAGCACTGTCCAAGAGTCTGCACAGAGCTGGAGCGTCCACCACGCTCCAGTTTCAGGGATGCATCGCCGTGATCTCACCCCACGATGGGCTGCCACCAAACAACCTTATTATAAATAATACGCCTGGTTATTGCAAAAGCAATCGTTCATAGTCATTCGGCAAGATTCCCGGTGGGTTAATGAAAGCTGTATCATCACAGGGATGAAATACCTTGTGTCTGGGCAGCACCACCCTTCCGGCTCCGAGCCGCTCAGCAGCTCCAAGGGACAGGATTGTTCCCCCGGTGGGGTACTCGCCCTTCGCTAAGGAATGGGTTTCATCTCGGGGAATGCCCCATTTAACAGATTAACTGCACCGGGGACGACCCTGCACAGGCAGGGCAGGGTTTGAACTAACCAGAGTTTGTTTTGGTCACCCGCAGGGAAAAACCTCAACTCCCCATGCAGGGCTCGGCCTCCTGCCCCGGCTTGGTCCCCATCTAGGCACGGGGTGCAGCTGGACGGCGCAGCTGAAGCCACGTAGTTCACAACTTCTTCCCTTGCACTGGTGACAGCACTCGTTCAGGGAAATAAAACAGAAATAAGCCGCACAGAAAAGGGAATAATTTTCTGCTGTCGTAGCAGGGGAAGGGGGACGACGGGGATTGGCCCCTGTCAGCAGGGAGATCCACGGAGCTGCATCAGCAAAGAGCTGATTCATGCTGCGATCGCCACCAGCTGAACGGAAACTATTTCCTGGTACTGGACAAGACAAAACCTGCGATTCGGTTTGTTGTTGTTGTTGTTTTTGTTTTGAAACTTGCTCCTGTAGTGATAGAGGGCCCTCAGGGAGATTTATAAATTGGGTTCTCTGGTCTAGAAGCTATCATTATGTTCATACCATCAGCACTTAATGGCAGGTCCTGAAGGAACAACTAAATTTCTTGCTGCAGGCCAACGACAATACCTGTTTTTCCTGTAGAAGATGAAAAATACTTCCAAGGATGAGCGCACAGCGCATGTCCCCTCAATTCATCCTTGCGTCTTCTGTTTCAAAAAGTGCTCCCTATCTCCAGAGCCAGCTGATCTCCCTTTCTTCTGACCAAATAAATATGCTTTTCTACGCCCGACGGAGTCACACTACAGTCACCTAAGTCTAACAAGAAAGTGAAAAAGAGCTCACGCTCTTCTTGATATCATTCCACCCTACCATTGACAGGTTTCCCCGTGCTCAAAATCCATCACAGCCCTGCCCACTAATTCCAGAAGTACCAGCAGAACATTAAAAATAAATAAATAAATAAATAAA